GTACATTCCATGACTCATAGTAACCCCGTATAGTTTCCTAGGGGCAGCTGGTAGGTCTGAACTGCTGACCTTGAAGTCCAGTGCATTATCTTGCAGCCACATTAATATTCTTAGTGATGAAGAAACTGATGCATTTAGTGAATGAGCTAGGATTTAAATGCAGTATTTATTTCCAACCCCATGTCCTTAATCACCCACTCATTATTCTCAAAAGGTGAAAAGAGAATGTAAAAATATTTTCAAAACAGTTTTCCAAGTTAGAGAGTTGCCCAAGTTGCCTCAGAGTTCAAAGGTCTTATAAGAACCACTTACTGGTTGCCTGCTCTGTAGTCCCAGGCACTGAAGCTTCTTATCTTCCCAGGCCAACAGCAGCATTTTCGCCTCTGTTCCAACTTCCCGTTCACCTGCAAGACAGATGCACTAAGTCACTAAGGGGCTGGGCTGATAAACTGACAGTACCTGCAAAGCACAGATATACTGTTTCCTATGCTCTATTTATGATTTACATTATTAATTTTTTTAAAATTATGGTCTATTATCTTGACTCTGGTAATGATTCCACACTGATACAATTGTTGAAACTCATAAAACTATACACTTTAAAAGGGTGAGTTTTACTATATGCAAATTATATCGTAATAAACAGCTATAGGATAAGCATTGGCCTGCAAGGTCAGTTTAAGGCACAAGGTCAGCAGTTCAAACTTACCAGCAGATCCTCAGAAGCCCTATCTATACATGGTTGCTATGAGTCAGAATTGGCATTTAATAACAACAAACCCAATTTAACAGAAATTATTGTCCTTTGTGAGTAAGGTTTATGTATACATTGTTGAACAACATAGTCTCTGCCCTCGAGGCTCTCATGGAAATGAAATTTATTAATTTAATCATTAAATATTTATTGACCACGGCACATAACAACAACAACAACTATGTTTCCAGGGGCATGTGGTGGCTCCATAGGATAAGCACTGGACTGCAAACCACAAGGTCAGCACCCACCAGCTGCTCTGTGGGAGAAAGATGAGGCTTTCTGCTCCTGCAAATGATTTAAAGTCTTGATAACCCCAGGTAGGTTGCTATTAGTCAAAACTGACTCCATGACACTTAACAACAACAATTATGTATCAGACACTATTCTAGGCACTGAAGAAATAGTAATGAACAGACAAAGTGTTCACTCTCTCAAGAATTCAAGTAGAACAAGAACAAGCAAGTTGCTCGCCCAAGAGACATCAAGGAAAGTGGTCGGGTCCCCTCAGTGCAAAACCCCTTCCAAGACTAACATTCAGTGGGAACAAACGAGTAGACATGCGCTCTGATTGGTGACCACGTTTGTCACCGATATGGGGAAGTGAGAGAAAAACAGCAATGAAGTTGCGAGATTAGCCCTACAACGTTCAAAAGACTCCTGTGAACCCAAGTGGAGACTTGCTTGGTCAGCAGTGTGGCAAGACCTGGGGAGTCTTGGGCCCATAGTCATTGATATAGCCACAGAGGACTAGAGTGGAGAGGGAAGTGTTCGGTTGATAAGAAGAGAGGGCATATGTACAAGAACACCCACACTTGCAGATAATACCCATTTGACCTGGCTTCAATGATGGGATGATCAGAGCTCAACTAGAAGAAGAAAGAAGAGGAAAACAAGAGTAATCTGATACAATTTGATGAACTTGACCTACACCTATGGATGCAGTAGCTCAAAGGAGGGAACAAATCTTTATAGCGAGGATCATTCCTACCCCCTCCGTACACAGAGTAGACAGGGATGGGCAACTTAGACATTGGCTACCCAAAATGGGGGAGCTACAAAGGCAAGAAGTGACTGGCTTACAAGCTTTCAAGAGAGAGCCTAGATCCAGAGGGTGTGGAGGAAGATAGAATCTCCACTGAGTAGTATCCAATCTGTTTGGGTGGGGCTGATGAAAGGAGAAGGGGATAGGTCTCTTGTGGTACAATAGTGAATAATTGTTATCAGGACTGACTGTGAGGGCTAGAAATGTAAAGGGAGACGTTTTGTAGCAAAAAGAGGGGAGTGATTGACTTTGCAGTCCAGGAGCAGAGGTCCCTGCAACCATCAAGGGACAAGAGCGGAGTGCGGGACCCTACCTAGAGAAACAGTGACACCAGAGATGGATGCAGAGACGATGACGTGGAGAGATGGAGCGGCTGGGAACTCTAGACCCAGAGAGGGAGAGGGGCTGTGTGCTGATGACCGGGGGGCAGGCTTACAGGGTATACCCTTTGGTTGGCTGATGATGCATGGAAGGGACTGTAACCATGGCAATGAAACAATATACGATAGGATGAAAATAAAGCTAATGTTCTCCCATGTAAACTATCACATAATTCACAATAAAACATTAAAAAAAAAGAAAATATTCAAGTGGAAAGAGATCATAAATAAATAAACAAGTAGGATACTTTCAGGTAGTAATGAATTCTTCAAATGTAATAAAATGGAAAAATATAAGTGACTTTTTAGAGGGAAGTTGAGTAGGGAAGGACATCCTCAACTTCAAAAGGGCTCTGAGGAGGTTACTTTTCAACTGAGGGCTTACTGATGACGAGAAGTCAGTCATGTGAAGAGTTGTGAGAAGCACAATCCAGATTAAGAGAAGAGCAAGGCCAACCCTAGGAGGGTGGGGGAGAGTCTGATGTACTGAAAGCACAAGAAGAAGGCCTAGCTGGAACAGAATGAGCCTGGCACAGGGTAATATGACATGAGTTTGGAAAGGAATGCAAAGGCTGAAAGTGTAAGGGTTTGTTGTAAGCCACAGTAAGAATTAGAATTTTAATATATGTATAAAGGGAAGTCACTGGAAGGCTTTGAACAGTAGAGTCACATGACAAACTTATGCTTTTTAAATGATCACACGTCACTCTGAAGAGAATAGTACAAGTAGTAGTATAGGCAAAAGAAGACAACAGATCAGACCAAGATGTTAGCACAAGGGGGAGGTATACATACGCAAAGGTAGAGGTAAGCAGACCGGTATCAGAAAATTAGAAACACTTTAAAGGGAAAGAATACAGACTTTGCTGATGTAAAACATGAGGAAAGCAGGGGAGTACTCAATGAATCTCAGGCTTAGGCCTGACCAAATGGGCAGATGATGGTGCTGTTTACTGAGAAGGGAAAAACAGAATTGGGGTAGGAGAAAATAAAATACTCCAAGTTAGACAAAATAATTTTGAGGTATCTATTAGACAACCAAATAAGAGTATGAAATTCTGGCAAGAGGCACAGACTTTAAGCATACTTTTGGAAATCACCAGCTTAAAGACAATATTTAAAGCTACAGAATTGATGAGATCATTTAGGGAAAAGTTGTAATTAGAGCAGAAAGTATAGTATTGAACAGCAAGACCTTCCAGTATTTGAAGGTACAATAGGGAAAACTTATAATAAAAGGAGATTAAAAAGCAGAAGCCATTGGGAGACAAATCTAGTGTAGTTTGGTAATAGAGACACCAAGAAAGAAAGTGTTTTGAGGACAGGGATATACTGTGCTAAATATCATTGCTTGTTTACATACAAGTAACACTGGATTCAGCAACATGAAGGTCATCGATGAACTGAACAAGTCATTTAAGGTACGTGCGTAAATTGACGAGTAACTAGAAAACGAGAAGTAGAGAAAACAAAAATACTTTCATTTAATTCAAATAAACTAAACTTTAATGGCTTAACTTTGAGTGAAATAATGATGTTTGTGAAATCTTAGGTTTAAATGGGATATGTGTGTCAGTACATTATACTAAACTATAACTACTAAAAATATGCACTAACTAAAAACACTTTGTTTACCACTAACTGCACATTTACCATGTTTTAGGAAATACAGCTCTACTAGCAAATGGTTTTAGCAAGAGTTCTTGGGACCACAGTGCATTTATACAGGACATTTATGAGAAGATGTAGAGCAGCTGAGTATGTCAAATTGAGGAGTAAAGATGATGGTAAAAAGAAACACATGGTAAAAAGTCCCATGGAAACACAGAAGAAATTATTAATATTAGCAAAGGAAAATAAGAAACGCATGAAAGTTGCCTCATTAGGACTATCATCATTCTGACTCACCAGTCAGTATTTCCCATCATTAATACTCCAAATGTATCTTTTTTTACACAACACTCAATTCTACCTCCAAGGTTTTTAATGCAAACTGGTCCTACTTCTACCCACAGCCCTAGATCTCAACCTTGAAATATCCTTCCGATTCCTATATGTCCCACTCCTACCTGTCCTTCTAGGTTCAAGCCAACTACAGTGATAGCAACGTTCTCATCTATATTAACCTAAATCATTCTCTTCCTTTGAAACCTAATATTTGCATTAAGAATCACCAATGTATTTCAGCCAAAAGGGAAAAAAGATAAGTATTAGTTTCATCTGCTGAATTATCCTGTACTTACTCAAAAGCTGTGACTATGACAGATACTTACTTTGTAAATTCCAAAGCAGCAAAAACATAACAGGTAGTCAATAAATAGTAATCTTATGAAAACAGAAATACCAGCTACCGAGCAGGAAAGGATGAGAAAGAAAAGGAGAAACTAAGGAAACATGAAGGGGTTACCTAACAAAACAAGCTCAGAGATCATTATCAACTCACTTGGCATCTGCTCAGGGGAGCCGAGGTTTATGGAGTTGTCAGCAGCACCCACAGCCACTCCATTGATGGAAGAACCACAGTCTGCAATGACTCTCAGGCAGGCTGAGCGTCCACAATCCCAAAGTCGTGCTGTCCCATCTCGAGAACCAGATATCACATTCCTTCCTCGATCAACAATAGCTGTATCCAAGATACCTGGCAAGAAAAAAAAAGTTCCTAAGATGTGAAGTAGTGAAGAAACTATAATGGCAGAGAAGATGGATCTTCAGAAGTGACTCGATTCCTCCTGTAAGTATGACCTGAGTATATACTATATGCTGGGCATGTTCGTGTGTTAGATAAATAAAAATAAAAAAAAACAGAGTCCCTACTTGCCAATGGGTCAAAGACCCATTATGAGAGAGACACAGAAAAGCAGTTTCTGGATTCAATTTTACTGCAGTGTTCCAGAGCAAGTAGGTTTTAAACCCACACTCAAGCTTTTACTTTGGCTTCAAAACTGTTATCTCTAAACAAAAAATTAAGTAGACATCTTTGAGAATTTGGACTGAAAATCACTTTTCTTAAAGGATCCTACTATTTCCCATGAGCTGAAAATTATAATAGTGGGGGGGCTATTATAACTTCTAATTCTCTGCTGAGATTTAAGTATTTCAGTTTATTTCTGAAATACTTTTTATTTAAGTAAAGAAAAAAACAACAAAACAGAACAAATTCCTGCTCTCATAGCTGGAGACGGGTTGGCATACAAGTAAACCAACAAGTATTTAAAATGCAATGGAGAAAAGATAGGTTAAGTAAGATAAGATTGATTACGGTGGAGGGGTGCTATTATATATAAGATGACCAAGAAGGCCTCTTTAGTACCAGAGCAGACACCTAATACAAGTGAAGGAACAAAGAACGTAGTCTTCTGAGGCAAGAGTGTTCTAGGCCTGTTTAACAGCAGGGCCTTTGTAAAACAAAGTGAGCAAGTGCAAACTGCTACTATTTGATAAATGAGACTTTTGCTTATGGATGCAGTTGCTCAAAATTCCAACTGGAATGGAAGGATTATTCATATTGAGGAACAAGCTTGTTTCCTCAGTGTACTGGATTGACATGGATGGGTAATTTAGACATTGGCTATCAAAATTGGGGAGGGCTATAAAGGCATGAAGTGGCTAGCTTACAAGCTTTTATGAGTGTGCTTAGTTGCAGAATGAAGGCAGGTTAAGGTACAATCCCCATTGAATAGTTTCCCTCTTTTCCAGATGGATCTGGTGAAAGGGGATGGGGGAACAATGGTGATAAAATTTTATGACACAATTGTGAATAATTTTTAGCAGGATTAATTGTGATGGTCACAACTGTAATTGTAGAAGATGTGTAACTAAGAGGGAAGAGCAGTTAATCTTTTATTTTAGGAACAATCCCAGGACCATCAAGAAAGGAAAAGCATGAATGGAACATGAGAATCCTACCTGGAAAAGTGGTGACAGAGACGGTGGCAAAAGCGATGGCATAAAGAGCAATTGTGGGCTCTAGGCCCATGGACTGAGTAAGGTTGTATACCTGCGGCCAGGAGGTTGGCCCTTTTAGAATGTACCCTTTGGACATTTAAATGAGTATATATTTTTATGTTTTGTATATGTACATCAAGTTTTTTGCTTTGTTCATTTGTGAAATATAAGATATAAATGGGGTGCCACAGAGAGGAAGTACGATAACTGTTATTGCAGGAAGGGGATTGTAATAATTGAAATGAAGCCAAGGGTATAAATTATTGAATGTAAAGCTGTTGATCTTATCTGTAAATCTTCACTCAATTAACAATAAAGTTTAAAAAAAATCCAAACATGTAGAATAATAGCATATTTATCACACTTTTAATATTCCAATTAAGAATACATCTTTACATTACTGTTTTCTAAAGTAAACCTATCAATCAGTTACAAAGGGAAGATGTTCTTACTGTCTCTACTATGTGATATTAACCGGCTATACGATTAATCCATCTTCCAACTCTGACCCATGACTTAAATCTATGAGAATCAATAGTCAGTACCAAGTTCCATCTCTTAATTTTGATAATGCAGCCATTTGGCACTCAGTTTTTAATCTTGCTTCAGCCATTTTCTCATTACATTGATGCTGCAATGAGAAAATACAGAGCCATCTCTCTCTCTTTTTTTATCTCAGCACGTAGATGATCTCTTGGGAGGATTTTTCCCCCTTATCAATTGTGGTAAAATTATCTGTGTAATGCAGATAGAAACAATAAAACCAATTAATATAAGAATTTCTATTCCTTAGGAAATAGCAGCTCATCTAAATGACCAGTTGGTATGAGTTTTCTGTTTCTATTTTTCTGGTGATTTGTCTCAGGGGATCAACTCAAAAACCTTTGTGACCCTTCATACCTCCTTTGTGACCTTTGAAGGTGACCACACAGCTAGCATCTTCAGCTGACCAGATCTTCAACTGGGCATCCATCCCACCACTCAGAACCACAATGCCTGATGGGAAAAACCTGCAACAATTCACATCAAACACATGTCCTTCCAATACTCTCTGGAAAAACAAAAGAAAATTCCATGCTAGTTTTCTTGTTCTTCCCTTGAGAATCTCTTACTTCCCATATCCTTGATCTCTTATGTGAAACACCAACATACAGCATCCCCATGCTGACTTTTAAAACTAATGATATCCAAAGAATCTGTTAAGCTCATCTGTCAAAACAGGTAGTGTTATGAGAACTTCTGGCTCCTATTCCTGGGCTTTAGTTACAGGTGATCAGAACAAATTCCCTGGCTCTCATAGTTATCCATACATATAGTTCTAAAATATAAGGAGTGGATGATGCCTGGGGACTTTATTAGCTATCTCTTCTAAAATCTTCCATACAGGTTGCAGGGCTAAGCCATATGTTGTGTAATGACCTAGCTGCTCTGTCTTGGAAATCAACCATTGAAGACAGTTTATACTGAGGGGTCTACCCACTTAGATATACACTGGCCTGGCTGCTCCAATCCTCCAACTCCACTCTGTTCTTGAAAATTAGCAGGTTTGGGGATATTCTCAAATAAACAACTGAGAAAACAGAGACCAACTGAAGTATTCAAATTCATAGTTGTTGAGTTGACTCCAACTCACAGTGATCCTCTAGGACAGAGTAGAACTGATCTATATGGTTTCTAAGGCTGGAAATATTTAGAGAAGCAGATTGCTTCATTCTTCTCCTATTGAGTAGCTGGTGGTTCAAACCACCAAACTTTCTGTTAGCAGCCCAATGTTCAGTTCACTGCACCACCAGGGCTCCATAATTGAAGTACAGTGGTCCTACATTTTTAGAAAGGGCTACTCTTCCTTCCATGTCCCAGTCAATGGTTTCTCATACTGTCCTTCGTGCATAAACCCTAAAAGTGTATCCAAAGTCATTACTCTGAGTTCTCCATTGGAAGCCTGCCAGATCTTCATGCTCCCATCGGCACTAGAAGACACTCCAAGGCCTCCTCCACTAGAAATGTCCAGACATGTTATCTGTTCAAGGAGAAAACAACCAGTATTTAAAATGATGTAATGCTCTTATTCTCTGGAAATACGTTATTCTCTAGTTCACACTCCTCTAAAACTTCTTGAAGCCTATGCTCCATAGCATGTTGTTACCATTACCAATTTCCCAATAAGGCCAGAGTCAACACCTTTTACTTCTCCAAATGAAAACATATTCTTGAATTATCTGTAGTCTCTTGTTACCCAAAAAAATGTAGCCCTATCACTACACTGTTTCCATAGATACCATCTTTTGCTACTTTATTCTGAATTTAAGATGTTGTAAAAGATCAGACACTGAAAACCCTATGGGACACAGTTCAACTCTAACACACATGAACTCACCATGAGTCGGAGTTGACTTGACAGCAAGTGTTTTGTTTGGTTTTGTGTGTGTGGTGCTGTAGGATCAGTAATGGACTTTGAACCACAAAGTTGGCAATTCAAATTCACCAGTTGCTCCTTGGAAACCTTATACAGGGTCACTAGGAGTTGGAACTGACTCAACGCACTGAACAATTTAATAATATTGCATGAAAATGTAGTTATTAATTATCCTTCTACAATATATTATTAAATTACTAAAAAACAAATTCAATTAAATAAAATTTCCAATGTTACTATTAGCTGCTATAGAGTTGATTTCAACTTATAGTGACTCCATGTGGCAGAGTAGTACTGCCTTCTAGGGTTTACTAGGCTGTAAGCTTGACAGGAGTTCATTGCCTATAACGTAGCTAGGTGGGTTCGAACCACCAACCTTTTGGTTATCAGTCAAGTGCTTAATTGTTGCATTACGAGAGCTCCTCTTCTAATTCTTAGAAACCCACTTATATAAAAGATAATCTTCCAAGATACACTGGAAAGACTCAAAGTGCAGAGATGCTTCAATTTACTACTTATACTGTGCTTACTATGTTTAAGACTTTATTCTGTTTGAATCCTCTTAACAACTCTAAGAGACAAGTACCATTTTACAAATGAGGAACCTGAAGTACAGGGAAGTTAAGTAAAGCTGCACAGTAAGTAGTGGAATCAGAATCTAAACCTAAAGAGAGTCTAATTCTGTAGTCCATGCTTGCAGCCACTGTGCTATAAAATGAAAGGTGAACATATAAATTCATGAAAGACAGGGCTGTCCTAAGCATGACACCAAAGGCAGCATTCAATTAATAGGTTTTATTATCTAAATTAGAACATTGCTGACATAGTGGGTTGCATGTTGGGCTGTGAACTACAGGTCAGCAATTCGAATCCATCAGGTACTCCATGGGAGAAAGCTGAGGCTTTCTGCCTTGAAAAACCCTATATGGGGTCACTATGAATTGGAACTGACTTGGCACACAACAATGACATAAATATATTTAATATCTATATGTCAAAAGAAATAAACAAATTTAAGATGTACAATAACTTAGGGAAAACATTCTGAAAAATATGACAATTAATACCTTTAATATAAAAAGAACTCTTTTAAATTAAATTACTATGTCACATATAGTAAAATGGACAATCCATGATTTATCAAAAAATGCAATAAAAATAAAAAATACCATCTCTCAAATTCATAAAACATTTGTAGATTATGTACAATTACTGTTAGCAGAAGTCAAATTGCAGGCAATGCAGCAAAATCTCTATTAGTCAACAGACAGAACAAAGTTAAGGCAAATAATTAAAAACTTCTGTTGAAGTATGAAATAAATTTTTTAAAAAGATAAATAGCTATATTTTAACTCAAACATATAACTGCATATTAAATTCACTAATCATTTCAAGAGGGGCCAGGACTTTTCTTGAAGCAAGGGTTCGGTTCTCTCATTTAGCTCCATGTTGGCTTTCTTATATCAAACCATAACCAAAAAGAACAATTTATAATTCTAGTTGCGTAAGCAAGGCAAAACTTTACTCACCTTTAGAAAGCAATATAAAAGCAGAAATTCATCTAGAGTTTTTTTCTTTAGATTGTTTCCTTAAATTTTACATTTATTTTATCTATACATAATACAACATTAAAAAAATTCTTATGTATTACATCTTTACAAAACAATCACTTAGTTTTCAAAGAAATAACAGCTCTATTTTTCACGATCATATCTCACTAGTTTAACATATTTTTATTATTTTACACAATTTATAAAGAATATTATAACTGACATTGCAACTGACTCTTGGTAAGCATTCAGTGTAATAGCAGCATATAGATACATCAGAGAAAAGTTCATGAGCCATAAACATGATGTGGGTATTAACCAGTAATTTTACAGAGGAAACACAGAACAATAGTGGATTCAATAAACGAGGTAAATGGAGGTCAGTCAGAACATACCAATAGCCTCATCATTTGCATACCCTAGAAACAGCAATTTGACTTCAAAGGTATTCTATTATCTTCCTGTCTTTCTGAACAAAACATAGTTCCAGTATATTAATCAAAAAACACAATCACACAGTTGGAAACGCCCTAATGTCCAACACTGTTAAGACAGGAAAATTATACAGTCATACAATGGAATACTATGCAGCTCTGAAAAAGATACAGAAAAATAGCATAGGAAAAATGTCTGTAACATATATAATTCAAGACACAAAACAAGTACAATAAAATTTTCATTACAATACTTAAATGATTGGGAAGATTAAGTGAAATAAGCAAGATACTGGCTCACAGTAAGCATCAATAAATGATTGTTTGTGTTAGATGCTGTTGACTCAGTTTCAACTATGTACACAGAAGTAAACACTGTCTTCTCAAGTTGTCCTGTGTCATTCTCACAGTCATTGCTGTTTGAATCCATTGTTTGAACCCACTGTTGCAGCCACTACTCCAATGCATCTTCCAATTTTTCACTGACCCTCTAATTTCACCAAGTATGATGTCCTCCTCCAGGACTGGGACCTGATAATGTCTAAAGTATATGAGATGAAGTCTCGCCATCCTCACTTCTAAGGAACATTCTGTACTTCCTCCAACATAGATTTATCCAATATTCTTTGCAAACACCAAAATTAAAAGGCATCCATTCTTCTTCAGTCTTCCTTATTCATTGTCCAGCATTTTCATGCATATGAAGTGACTAGAAAAACCATAGGTTGGGTCACACATACCTTAGTCCTCAAAGCGACAGCTTTGTTTTTTGAATACTTTATAGAAGTCTTTAAAGATATGTGCAATGCAATGTATCTTTCTATTTCCTTGTTGCTGCTTCCATGGGCACTGATTGTGGATCCAAGTAAAATGAAATCCTCAACAGCTTCAGTATTTTCTTTGTTCATCATGATATTGTTTATTGGCTCAGCTGTGAGGCTTTTTGTTTTCTTTATATTGAGGTTTAATCCATATTGAAGGATACAGTCTTTGATCTACATCTTCAGTTGTGTCATTGGTATACTACAGGTTGTTGACAACTCTTTCTCCAATCCTGATACCACCTTCTTCAACTTCTCAGAATATTTGCTCAGCATATAGACTGAGTAAGCATGGTCAAAGGATACAACCGTGACACCCACTTTTCCTGATTTTAAA